AGGGTGGGGCCGTGATGCCCCTCTAGGAGCCGTGAGGGCGCCCGGGAGAGAGCTACGCTCCAGATCGGACGCCGGCGGTTACTGTGAAGGGCGTCGGCCGCGGACGCCGGTTCCCTCTGGGTCTTGCTGGGGTTCGCAGGGAGCCCGCGGGGCCATACCGTCCGGGCAAGCCCGTTAAAACCCGTGATGCGATGGAACCGACCTGTGCGGGCGGCTCAGCCGGGGGGTGTCGAAACCGGACTGATGGCGCTGCCCCGTGAAGACATGGAGGGGACACTTCTCCTTTAGGTTGGCAGTGACCAGTACCTTCTTGTGTGCCTCTCGCAGTCCGCTTCTGTGCCCCAGACAACCGCCCGAACCAGGACCGACTGTCGCCGCCTCTCTAGCTGCGTAGCTTGTTTCTTGACCCGGAGGAAGGCTTCCATTAGCATTTGGCAGGACGGACTGGGCTCGCGGTGAACTGAACCAGACTGCGAGGGGAAGTCTGTGTTTACAGAGCAAACTGTCCCCCACCCCCACCAAGGGGAGGCTCTAGACAAGTGACTCTCGGTGGTTTTGTTGTACCCCTTGTTGCCAGAAGAATGCACACACCTTCTGCGCATATGTGTACAATTTTGCATTCCAGTTCTGAGGGGTTTGGACTTGTGGGGCCATCCATGGAAGCCAGGAGTTAAGAACTCCTGTTTGCCAGCTTTTGTTCTGGCGCTGGAGGATGCAAGTGGAGATTTAGGGAAATAAATGGCATGTTGAGTGGGTTGCAGGAAGCGGACAAGCTTTCCAGGGCAAATGCTGACTCTTCTGTGTTTTCTCTAGGGGGAAACTCGGCCGGTACCCTCCATGGCCGGGAAAGGTGAGTGTCTTGCCACTAAACTAAAGGAAGACGTCTGAAGTTGGGTTTGAAGAGGTGACGAATGGCAGATGCATTCCCCTCAGTTTCTGACCTTGAATGAAACTGTGCCTATTTAAATGACAATCAGATTTTTCTTTTCTCTAATATCAGTTCATTTAGAAAAGCCAATATATAAATCAGGTCATTTAATCTGCAGTGATTGCTTATTTCTTGAATCAGAGATGGTTTTGATGGAGTCTTTTAACTCTGGAAATCAATTCTAGTTTGAATTTAGCTTTATACTTAAATCTAACAAAAGGAGAAGAAAATAAATTCTCCAGGAAGAGAGAAATCTAAATGTAGGTTAGTGAAAAGTCAAAGTATTTTTGTCCCAACTCAGTTTAAATCTTCTTTCCATGTTACCATATGTGGTGCTCCAGTGCATCTTTGCAGAAGTTGGCATTTCAAATTTTGCATGAGGCGATCCATCAAAGCTTTCCAAATGTTCTGTTTATATATTCTTGCTAGGAGCCCAAGAAATGCCTTAGACTGTCTCTTTGGAGCATGGCATTTTCAGTGCCTCAGTTGACTTTCATTGTCACTATTACCTGTCTCAACTCTTCCTGCCTTGAAATATTTTCACAAGTGTCCTTTGCATTTCTTCAGTGTTTATAGGGTCACTTTGGGGGTGGGGGGGCTGTTGGTCTTCATTTTAATTGCTTTTAAAACAGGACCATTTCAAAAAGGAAATTTTATCTACTGAACACTGTGCTTGTTACATGTTTGATACAGGGAACTTCTGTAGAAAAGTGCCAAGTCTAAACATATTCTAGGCCCTGGGTTTTTATTTTAAGACATTCCTTTTTTTTTTTTTTTCTTACCAGCTTTGAGCTGTGGAAAAAAACCTTTTTTCCCCCCTTTTATCCCCCAGATTGTTAATCCACCCAAGGATTTGAAGAAACCTCGTGGGAAGAAATGCTTCTTTGTAAAGTTTTTTGGAACAGAGGATCAGTGAGTAGCACTCACCAAGAGTTTCCCTTTGCCTTTTTTTAGCTTTTGCCCTGGGTCTGAGCTGCTTTGAGAATATTCTAGGAACCCTAGTTCAGCCTTATTATAGTCTGTATGGATGCGTATCATTCTGGCCTCATACCTAGATAAAAGATGGTATTCGTATTCTTATCTTGCAGAACTGTCCTGGGCTAATAATAATGTCAGGTGAGAACTAGAGCTCACCACCTTCTAAATATAATAATCACATTGAGATAGTTTCTCACATCTCTTTACCCGTTCCATAGGCAGTTCCTTTTATAAAGCCCACATTTGGTTCTCTGTTAATAGCTGTTTATCATTTGGCTCATGCATGAGGTATACAGTGAAAATTAAAATATTTATCTTAATAAAAGTAATGGTTTAATCTGCTTTCTTTTGTAAGAGTGGATAGCTCACTCTAATATTGTAAAAGTAATGCTTTTTAACCAGACCTGAGTTGAAATCAGAACCATTAATTTGAGATTCTTTGATAGGAAAGCACAATGAGGGGAAGAAGATGTATTTGCTTGAGTGATTTGTTTAACTTTCTTATCACTACATCAAGTTGATTACCTAGGTCTAGCTAGATGGTTTGATTTCTTTAAGTAGTTATATTTCTGTCTATGATTCTTACAGGAAAATGTAATTTAGGGTTAGGAAAATGTGACTTTTCTGATAATTTAATACCAATGATTAAAATACACATTCCTAGAAAGCAAGATATAATATTCCATAGGAAAATCTCTTATAAACAGTGTTCTTCATTTGCTCAGGAGTTTATGTGTCAGAGTGCTTACTCATTTTGATTTAGCGTTTGCCTGGCATCATACAGATATACTGATATACCCAGCCCCAGTTCTCTGTTACAAACCAACTTAGCAGCCTTTTGATGGCAATATTTCAAAGGGGTCACTATCCTGGAGCTGTGAGAGCCAGAGACACTCTGGAAGAGAGAATGTTCTGGTATGCCATGGATTTCACAAGAAAGATTATCCTGATGCATAAAACAAGTGCTGATTGTACAACCACACTCCGAATTGCTTGACACCGAAGGGAACTTGGAAAGCGAATGTTGTGGTGCCCGTCTTCCAGGAACTCAGGTGACAAAGACATAAACATTTAAGATGGGGTTAAGTGCAGAATGAGTGATTCAGATAATTATTAAAGGGCTCTAGAATATATATAGAGATCAGTGGAGAATGGCCAGGTCAAAGGCTGATGTAAGAGATGGAATTTGAATCAAACTCGGGATGGATAGAGTTGGTGTAGGCAGGAATAGTAAGGGTATTCTAGGCATTGGATTCTATAAATAACTGGTCTTTTAGTTGGATATGTGGGCAGAGAGAGGCTCCCCATCTAAGGCAAAGAACTTGTGCTTGGGACCTAGCTGGTTTGCCTCAGTGATTGGAGGGTTGGCCCGTGGACTGAAGGGTCTTGGGTTCAATTCCGGTCAAGAGCATGTGCCTCATTGCAAGCTCAACCCCCGGCCATGGTTGGGGCTCATGTAGGAGGCAACCAATTGATGTGTCTCTTTCACATCAATGTTTCTCCCTCTCTATATCTCCCCCTCCCTTCCACTTTCTCTAAAAATCAATGGAAAAAATATCCTTAACAAAGAAAAGAACTTGTGCTTGGGAATGACAGAGGCAATATGGTTGGCCTAACTTGTGTACTTCTTTGTTTAGCTAACCAAGTATGAAGAAAAATGAGAACTCATAGAAAGTGGGGGCTTAATCAGATTACAGCAAGCCTGAAAGTCATTGTGTTTTTATAATAATGTTTTTTAAAGTTCTGGAAGTTTAGAAAAATAAACTGTAGTGCTTATGTATAAGAAATACTACAGATAAAACACAGAAAATTGGAGTTGAGTGAATTGCCATGCTTAACAGGCAACCAAGTGAAGCCAATGAAAAGGATGCACTTACTGAATGCAAAAATAACCTAATGGTGTCAGTAGTGGTGATGATGTGATTTCTAATTGGCTAAAGTTTTTTGAGGGGATTCATAAGCAAGTGGATACAGGGAAACTGCTAGATTTAATATCTTTAAGCTTTTTAAACTTCCTTGATAGAGTTCCATATAAAAAGCTATTTAAAAATTAAGACATTGTAGGACTAACATGTTATCTTTTTGTGGCTAGGCAGTTGACTCCGTAAAAGGAAACAAGGGTAAGGATCAACAGCACTTCTCTGAAGGGAGGAGGG